AACGTGGAAGTGTACATTGAGTTTAGATCTTTTTTCTTTGCTAATATATGTGTACAATGCTAGAAGTTTCCCTCTAGCTAATGCAGGTGGATCACTTGAGGCCAGGAGTTCAAGACCAGCCTGGCCAACATGGTGAAACCCTGTCTCTACTAAAAATACAAAAAAGTAGCTGGGTGTGGTGGTGGGTGCCTGTAATCCCAGCTACTTCGGAAGCTGAGGCAGGAAGATTGCTTGAACCCAGGAGGTGGAGGTTGCAGTGAGCAGATATTGTGCCACTGTACTCCAGCCTGGACAACAGAGTGAGATTCCATCTCAAAAAAATAAAAAATAAAAATAAAGGAACAAAAATACAAAAATTAGCCTCATGAGATGGCATGTGCCTGTATTCTCAGCTACTCAAGAGACTGAGGCATGGGAATCACTTGAACTGAGGAGGCAGAGGTCACAGTGAGCTGAGATTGTGCCACTGCCCTCCAGCCTGTGTGACAGAGCAAGATTCTGCCTCAAAAAAAAAGAAAAAAGTTACCTTGAGACTTCTTCTTTGACCTTTGTGTTCTTTGACCTTTGTGTTATTTAGAAGTATGCTGTTTAATCTCCAAGTATTTTGGAATTTTCCAACTGTCTTTCTGTTAATTATTTCTAGTTTAATTTCAGTGTTGTCTGAGTCTGAGAGAATACTTTGTTATTTTCGTATTTTGTTTTTTGAGGTGGAGTCTTGCTCTGTTACCCAGGCTGGAGTGCAGTGGCACAATCTCGGCTCACTGCAACCTCCACCTCCCAAATTCACACAATTCTGCTGTCTCAGCATCCCAATTAGCTGGGATTATAGGCACACACTACCACACCTGGCTAATTTTTGTATTATTAGTAGAAATGGGGTTTCACTGTGTTGGTCAGGCTGGTTCAAACTCCTGACCTCAGGTGATCTGCCCATCTCAGCCTCCCAAAGTGCTGGGATTATAGGCATGAGCCACTGCACCCAACCTGAGAGAATACTTTTTAAAAATTTGTTAAGCCGGGCGTGGTGGCTCAAGCCTGTAATCCCAGCACTTTGGGAGGCCGAGGTGGGTGGATCACGAGGTCAAGAGATCGAGACCATCCTGGTCAACATGGTGAAACCCCGTCTCTACTAAAAATACAAAAAATCAGCTGGGCGTGGTGGCGTGTGCCTGTAATCCCAGCTACTCAGGAGGCTGAGGCAGGAGAATTGCCTGAACCCAGGAGGCGGAGGTTGTGGTGAGCTGAGATTGCGCCATTGCACTCCAGCCTGGGTAACAAGAGCGAAACTCCGTCTCAAAAAAAAAAAACAAAAAAAATTCATTAAGATATGCCAGGCATTCATTTTTAAAATTAATTTTCCAATCCCTTTGTTCAATTAATTTTTAAATTCCTTTTTTTTTTTTTCTGTGATCGAATCTCGCTCTGTCACCCAGGCTGGAGTGCAATGGTGCCGTCTCACCTCACTGCAACCTCCACCTTGCAGATTCAAGCAATTCTCCTGCTCAGCCTCCAGAGTAGCTGGGAAGGGGAAGGGGAAGGGAGAGAGAGAGCAAAGGAAGGAAGGAAGGAAGGAAGGAAGGAAGGAAGGAAGGAAGGAAGGAAGGAAGGAAGGAAGGAAGGAAGGA